GAGAGATGGAACAATCGAGCACCTACTATGCAAGCAAGTCTGTATTCAGCATTTTCACATATCCTACAGGTCAGCTATTATTAGACCGTCCCATTTTTCAGATAATAGACTTGGAGATGCAAAGACAGTAAGTAACTTGGCCGAATCATTGAACCAGTAAGTGACAGAGCTGATATCTGAATCCATAGATCTTGAACACTCATGTTCTAGCCGCTCTTAACGCTTTCAGTTTCTTTCAAGAATTATTTAAACCTTCAACAACACCCATACTTCAGGTAATTAAGGTCTTAGAGAATAAGCAAGAGAAAGATGCTTTGCTTCTATTCAGTTTTTAATTTTGCTTTTTATTCATGACATGCGTTATAACTACCACCCATATCAGTCCAGGGCCTGAGCCCCCACTTCTCCTCCTTGATATGTTTCTTCTAATTGGAATCCACAGAGGTCATTCTTTTGCTGTACCTATTAACTTCTGTTTCATTTACAACATTGCCCTATTAGACTTGTGGAGATTATTAACTTGGATTTTCAAATCAGATTTCCTGCAACTCTGCTCAAGGCAACCTTATTTTCCCAGTAGAAGAATCATGTATTTTCAGTGAGTGGTCATAAATATTGAAGAGTTAGTTCCTAGCTAATTTAAAAGAATAAAAGATGGAACATCCTTCAAATTTCCTTCTGATCTAATTTTGGTTGAGTAAGCTGTTTGCAAAGGTCACATATGAAAACAATGTCATAAAGAGCTCTAAGGGGTGTATTTACAGGTTTGGGGTGTGTGTGTGTGTGTGTGTGTGTGTGTGTGTGTGTGTGTGTGTGTGTTTGAATGTGTTCCTACATTTGTAAAAGAAAGGGTAAATTACAAAATGAGAGCATTAAAATGACCTGAGAGAATAAAATGCCCAATTCTTTCTTCGTGGTACTATATGGAAATTGTTGATTACCCCACCAATCACCTGCGCCTCTGGAAGCTCCTGAGGGTTTCTGAATTCCCAAAGAAGGAATAAACTTTCTCTCCACTTGGTTTTATGGTCAGCTATGTTTTCCTATGTTTACAAGCCCTGCAAGTTAGAGATGATAGAAATTTTATAGATTCAGTAATATTATTAAGAATATTTTAAAACCTAGATGACTTTTTTTGAATTAAATGGAGTTTGTTTTGAATTAAATGAAGTTTATTAAACCATGATTGAGATAGTGTCATCTATCTTATATTTTAATATTCTAATTTATATGTCTTTACCGTATTGCTATGGAATAGTTGTTATTAATGCCAATTTAAGTGTTTCTCCTATTTATCTTTTTCCCATTCCACTGCTACCTACCTGGTGCAAACACTTCTCTGTGTGTGTATGTTTGTGTGTGTGTGTTTGTGTTTTAATTGAAAACAAGCTTCTTGCTGGCACATACAGTTTCTTTGCTGGAATTAGAAAAAGACACCCACTGTGGGTGGACAAGTTAGAAAGAGTTGCTTTCCTTCACTCCTTCCCTCAACTGGGTCCCTTTCTGTTATACCTGTGCAACTATATACATTTGATTATAAATTGTGACGTATTTATAAGCCTTTAAAATTTAAGCCTGAATTAGTAAATGACCTCATTATTGGTCTCCTTGCCTTCAGCCTTTTGACTTTCCAATTTGTTTCACGTCTGCTTCATTAACCTTCATCTTCAAACAGCTTTTGCCATCTCATCTCCTTATGCAATGCCTTCAGTGTCCCCTTACGCCTCACCCGATGCTCAGAACCCTCCAGAATCTGGCTCTGCGACCTCCTTTTGTAGCCTTAACTCTCACTCCTCCTCAGTGTGGACCCTACCCTCTTGTCAGATTGGTTTAGCTAGCATTTACCAAGCATGTCTTGTCATACCTACCCCTAAGATGCCATTCCTCTCATCTGGAACCCTCCCCTCCATTTCATATGTCTAGCTAATTTAAAGAATAAATTATGGGGTCATCCTTCAAACTTAAGCAGTGCCATGCATTCTGTCACCAAGTTTTTATCAATGTACAAAATTAATTTTCATTACAACTAAGTATACGTGTGATTTCCACGGCATGAAATATTCTGCTGACACACAGTACATTCTTAAGTCAATATCAAAGAAAGAGGACAGATTTAGCAGAATGTTCAAGAACTTTGCTTCCTGAGAACATGGTCGAGATAGTAAACAACTCTTTTGGAGGCATACCATGCTGAGGGGTGAATGAGGAATAAGGGGATAATTGTAGAGGAACTTTTTAATTTAGTAAAACTTGCTTTAAATAGAAAATGGTGTTAACATTTTAAGACCTTCAAGTATGTTGGTGAAAAATGCCAGTATTAGAAAGGGAACCATGAAGACAAAAGTGGTTCACTACTTCTAATCTGTCTCAGACATTTGCATCCTTAAAGAACCAGATGAAAGCTTGCCTTGATTTCTTTTGCCCATGACAATGTGTCCCTCTCCTAAGCACCAATATCATGGATCTTCTGCATCACTCTGGAGTGGATGATGTCAGCGCTCTGCCCACACCCCTTCACCTAGCCCAGAAGTCACCTCTCTTATGCACTGATGGCTTCCTGCATCTCTCTGCCTGATGGTATCCTCTCACCTGGATGTATCTCTGGTCCATGTGCAGCGTAGGTCAGGGTGTTGGGAAATTAACATCTCAGGAGCTACCCTCAAAAAGCGGGGGATAGGAATTGACAAATACTGCATTTGCTCACCCTGCGGTGGGATACTCTTCAAACGTGTCCCACATGGTCTCTCAGAAGGTCTCCAGTAGCACTGAACCTGTTACGCACAGTGGTCACCTGCTCAATCGCACACTCTACTGGCTTTCCTTCCTCATCTTGCTGCCCCACTTCCTCCCAGCCCTTCCTGGAACCATCTTCTAAATACTAAGTCGTTTGCACCCAGATTCTTGTTCCCAATACCTTCATTAGTATTATGCCTCATTTCCTTCCTCTTTCCTCCTTACATGTTTTGTGCTCTTGAGGATTAATCTACTCCCAGCCACAACACACACACTTCATATAGCATCGTGGTCATAGTAGGTAATGAGGATGTCTTTGTTGATCAAATCAACCCTGGAACGAAGAAAGCCCTGGTGGATTTTTCTGGGAATTGATTCCAGTGGAGTTTTGAATATAAGGGAATGTTATTTCTAAAGTACAGGATTTCTTCTCATACTACTTTCTAAGAAAGGTTTTTAGATATCAAATGATTTGATAGATTCCTTTTTTCATACCTGACTGCATCCTCCACAGCTTGTTATCCATATCAGTCGGATTCAAGTGTTGTTATTAATTCTCTTGCTGTTTATGCATTTCATCCTGCCTCCTGCCTCAGGCAGAAGTTGACAGAATTAGTGGGACCAAAGCATGGTGGGGACTCCAGGTGTCCTCAGCTCTGTGGGCTACCAGCTGGCTGACATCCTGGCAGGCCCTCGGGCAGGGGACCAGCATGCCCCCTCTTCTAGAGCAGCATTATGCACAATACAACTTCTGGCAGCATCTAGAAAATCTGATTAGAAACCCACCCAAAGCAGGTATTTTTCCACTGCATTTCAAGTCCATCTCTTTTGTCATGGTGGAGATTTGACTAGAAGAGCTGCAGGGAGGACAGTCGCTTAATTGCCATTTTAGAATGCAGATGTGCACAGTACTGAGGAAAAGAAAAGACTGCCTTGGGGCTATTTTCAGTTTGTTCTCTTATGACTATTAGATCTTAGGCCAATTTTAAAATTAGCATTTATTTACATTGTGTTCTTGTCACGGGAACCCTGGTTAAGGTGTGAAATACATAGGATTCTGTTATTACTCCTTGGTTGAGGCAATGCCTGTCAGTCCTAACCAGTCTCCCTGAGGCAATCCAATAGTGAATGTTTACTTTCAAATCTTGCATTAGTTTCGTCTTGCGTACATTACAGTGTGGTGTGGCCATCTACCATCTGCAGCGTGCTGACTGATCGGAGTTCTCAAATGTGATGTTGTACAAAGAACAGTGCTCACCTGAATGTGGATTTTCCTTTTCTCTCCCCTCCACTCCCCTCCTTCATCTTGCCTTCCTCTCCCCCGCCTTTTTATTTTTATCTTTATTTTTTAGCTTCTTTAAGGGTCAGCTCATTTTACAGGAGGAGGGGAATCTTACTCCTAGGAATAAAACTCGAAATGTTTCTCATTATTTTTGATTAGATTCTTTCAAATAACCAGCACAATGATACTTGCACATAGTTGGCTCTCAACAAATATCTGTTGAATAAATTAATCACACGAAGAATGGATCTTGGCAACCAAAGGTAAGATAAATACCTGCATGTACATAACTGTGCCTTCCATGCCTGCATATCTCTTGAAAGCCATTGCTACCATTGCACTTACCAGCAGAAATTGTGAAGGTTACATCTGAATTTAGAAATCTGAGATGTCCCATCTGAGTTTATGATCAGATATGAAGGACCTAGAGCAACTGTTTGCTTTCAGAGATGCCCTAAGGAAAAAAGAAACTATGCCTTAAATAGAAGTCAAGAAAGCTGTGTTCTAGTTCTGGTTCTGTCACTAAAAATCTATGATTGCTTTTGCTTCAGGGGCCTTATTTGTAAAATGAGGAGATTAGCATCAATTAGCTGTACTGTCTTCCATCAAAGAATCAGTGACTTTATGACCTTCTGACCTTCTGTAAAGAACAAGAAGAGACAGGCTTTAAAAATTCGTCTTCATTAAAATGTACAGTCTTCTGAAAATGAGAAGGAAGTTATTAACACACAGTAACCAGGATAGTTCTCAGATGTTCTTCCACTTGACAAATGGGTCTTTCTAGTTACCTTCACTGAAAGAATGTGGTTCCTCCCCTTGCAATGTTTGCTAATTGTATTGAAAAGCTGGAAAGGAGAAAAGAACGGAAATTCTGTTTCCTGAAATATTTCTTAAAGGGAAAGAGGAAATTAACTGGTTCTGACGTTTTGTTGTCAGGAAAACATTTACTTCATCACACAGTCTGATAACTCTATTTCTTTTTCAGCTCCATAGTTCTGCTTCAGATACTCAAATGGAATTTCCAGATGGTTGCCTTCTCTAAGGTATGATGCTTCTTTCCATAAGCAATCTTTACCCTCCTTCCCTCCCACATGCAATATGTTTCCTACATACTTGGCCCTTAAATTGTTTTCTTTTATGTTTTAAAAATAATAGCTGATGGTTTTGATGTGTTCTTTAACTAATACTTGACACTTGGGAGGGGTGTTTTGTTTCTATATCCCAAGTGATGCCACAGTCTCAGTAGAAATCTGCTTTAGAGGTTGATAGGGAATTCTTCCATCAGTCAATGTTAGGTCAGTGACAGTGATAAATCCATCATACTTGTCCTTCACTTTGATTTAGTTAAGACTCTACAGCACCATTTGGTCCCTCTTGTATAACCTGGGATGGAGGGAACAGAGACAACTGTGGCTTCAGCTGGAAGCTGGAAAATGGGCACATTTCATTGTGCTGACTGATGCTGCCTACAGCTCCGAAGCCAGCATATACCATCTTTTTTTTTTTAAAGGTTTAAGGGGGTGGGGTTGATGGCGGACTCTGGGAAGGCTCATGCCAAGGAGTACTTCCCAGAACTTCTGCTGCAAGTGTCCTTGTCCCCGCGGTAAGCCCAAGCCACCCCCCCGCCTCTGCAGGAGACCCTCCAACACTAGTAGCTCCGATGGGGAGTTTAACAGTGCTATTGATCCACATCAGAGAGAAAAGTTCTTCAAGGTTGTTGGTCCCTGTCTCTCCCATGGGCTGCCCTCACCTCAGCTCTTACCCTTCCAAGTCAAGCTCTTTGTGCCCTAATCTGAGGGAATAGCAGCATCTTGGAAATCTTCCCAACAAGTCCTCTGAGTAAGGCCGTGTGGCTGACAGGGTCCCTGTGCTCCAGCCTGGAGTCAGGCCTGTGCCTGTGAGGTGGGAGAGCCGAATTCAGGACATTGGTCCACCAGAGACCTCCCGGCTTCACATAATATCAAATGGCGAAAAGTCTCCCAGAGATCTCCATCTCAATGCTAAGACCCAGCTCCACTCAACGACCAGCAAGCTACAGTGCTGGACACCCCATGCCAAACAACTAGCAAGACAGGAACACAACCCCACCCATCAACAGAGAGGCTGCCTAAAATCATAATAAGGTCAAAGACACCCCAAAACATACCACGGGACGTGGTCCTTCCCACAAGAAAGACAAGATCAGCCTCATCCACCAGAACACAGGAACCAGTCCTCTCCACCAGGAAGCCTACACAACCCACTGAACCAACCTTACCCACTGGGGGCAGACACCAAAAACAATGGGAACTATGAACCAGCAGCCTGCAAAAAGGAGACCCCAAACACAGTAAGATAAGCAAAATGAGAAGACAGAAAAACACACAGCAGATGAAGGAGCAAGGTAAATACCCACCAGACCTAACAAGTGAAGAGTAAATAGGCAGTCTACCTGAAAAAGAATTCAGAGTAAGGATAGTAACGACGATCCAAAATGTTGGAAATAGAATGGAGAAAATACAAGAAACGTTTAACAAGGACCTAGAAGAGCTAAAGAGCAAACAAACAATGATGAACAACACAATAAATGAAATTACAAATTCCCTAGAAGGAATCAATACCAGAATAACTGAGGCAGAGGAATGGATAAGTGACCTGGAAGATAAAATAGTGGAAATAACTACTGCAGAGCAGAATAAAGAAAAAAGGATGAAAAGAATTGAAGACACTATCAGAGACCTCTGGGACAATATTAAAAATACCAACATTCGCATTATAGGGGTCCCAGAAGAAGAAGAGAAAAAGAAAGGGACTGAGAAAATATTTGAAGAGATTATAGTTGAAAACTTCCCTAAAATGGGAAAGGAAATAGTCAGTCAAGTCCAGGAAGCACAGAGAGTCCCATACAGGATAAATCCAAGGAGAAACACACCAAGACACATATGAATCAAACTGTCAAAAATTAAATACAAAGAAAACGTATTAAAAGCAGCAAGGGAAAAACGACAAATAACATACAAGGGAATCCCCATAAGATTAAAAGCTGATCCTTCAGCAGAAACTCTGCAAGCCAGAAGGGAGTGGCAGGATATACTTAAAGTGATGAAAGGAAAAAACCTACAACCAAGAACTCTACCCACCAAGGATCTCATTCAGATTTGATGGAAAAATTAAAACTTTTAGAGACAAGCAAAAGATAAGAGAATTGAGCACCACCAAACCAGCTTTACAACAAATGCTGAAGGAACTTCTCTAGGCAGGAAACACAAGAGAAGGAAAAGACCTACAATAACAAACCCAAAACAATTAAGAAAATGGTAATAGGAACATACATACCGATAATCACCTTAACTGTAAATAGATTAAATGCTCCAACCCAAAGAAATAGACTGGCTGAATGGATACAAAAACAAGACCCATATATATGCTGTCTACAAGAGACCCACTTCAGACCTAGGGACACATACTGACTGAAAGTGAGGGAATGAAAACAGCTATTCCATGCAAATGGAAATCAAAAGAAAGCTGGAGTAGAAATTCTCATATCAGACAAAATAGACTTTAAAATAAAGACTATTACAAGAGACCATAAACAAGATGAAAAGACAATCCTCGGAATGGGAGAAAATATTTGCAAATGAAGCAACTGACAAAGGATTAATCTACAAAATTTACAAGCAGCTCATGCAGTTCAATATCAAAACAAAACCCAACCCAATCCAAAAATGGGCAGAAGATCTAAATAGACATTTCTCCAAAGAAGATATACAGATTGCCAACAGACACATGAAAGAATGCTCAACATCATTAGACATTAGAGAAATGCAAATCAATACTATAATGAGATATCACATCTCACACTGGTAAGAATGGCCATCATCAAAAAATCTACAAACAATAAATGCTGGAGAGGGTGTGGAGAAAAGGGAACCCTCTTGCACTGTTGGTGGGAATGTAAATTGATACAGCCACTATGGAGAACAGTATGGAGGTTCCCTAAAAAACTAAAAATAGAGCTACCATATGACCCAGCAATCCCACTACTGGGCATATACCCTGAGAAAATAATAATTCAAAAAGAGTCATGTACCACAATGTTCATTGCAGCTCTATTTACAAACCAGGACATGGAAGCAACCTAAGTGTCCATCGACAGATGAATGGATAAAGAAGATGTGGCACATATCTACAATGGAATATTACTCAGCCATAAAAAGAAACGAAATTGAGTTATTTGTAGTGAGGTGGATGGACCTCGAGACTGTCATACAGAGTAAAGTAAGTCAGAAAGAGGGAAAACAAATATCGTATGCTAATACATATATATGGAATCTAAAATTTTAAAAAAATGGTTCTGAAGAACCAAGGGGCAGGACAGGAATAAAGATGCAGATGTAAATAATGGACTTGAGGACATGGGGAGGGGGAAGGGTAAGCTGGGACGAAGTGAGAGAATGGCATGGACATATATACACTACTACATGTAAAATAGATAGCTAGTGGGAAGCAGCTGCATGGCACAGGGAGATCAGCTGGGTGCTTTGTGACCACCTAGAGGGATGGGATAGGGAGGGTGGGAGCGAGGGAGACACAAGAGGAAGGAGATATGGGGATCTATGTATATGTATAGCTGATTCACTTTGTTATACAGCAGAAACTAACACACCATTGTAAGGCAATTATACTCCAATAAAGATATTAAAAAATAAATAAAAATAAAAAGTAAAGATTTAAGGGAAGGGATTTGCTGGGTGATGTTTATCACAGTCTTTCAAAGAGCACCTGTCTTTGAAATGAAGGTAGGAAAATGGAGATGAGCATAGCTGGCCTTGCACTATGAGTCAGTTTCCCAGCAAGAGTTATGCTGGCAGACTTTGATTTTACAACCTGTTGACTCTTCCATAGACCCATAGCCCACCACCCTCACAATCACAGCCACCCCTACCAGCTCCAGAACCTCCACCGTTTTCAATCTGACAACGATTATCTTGGCTACAGCATCGCCATCATCTGGTCTTCACCCCACAATCCTGATATCACTTTAATTCAATTTTATCAAGAGCCTAATGACCAAAATTTTATGATGAAACTCTCTAAAATAATAATAATAATGTTGATTGTGTCCATTTTGCTTTATATAATTTAACTCATTTAATCCTCACAACAGGTTTTGAACTGAGTAATATTATTAACTGCATATTGTAGATATAGAAATTGAGGCTCCTGGAGTTAAGTAAGCTACACAAAGTCATAGAGCTAGTATGTGACGGAACCTGGATTTTTAACCCAGGCCCAGAATCAGAATTTTTAGTCACTAATCTAAACAAAGATTTGTTCACTGAGAACACTTGGATTTGAAGTTTCAATAGCTTTGTCACACACAAACACGCAAAAGCACTACTTTGGACCATAGCTAGTAAACTCATAAAGCGCATTTCCCTTTGAATGTGTCAAGCTAGAGTAAACTATGTATCAGGTACGAATGAACCTTGAACTATCAGTGGCTAAACATTACAAAGGTTTGTTTCTTTCTCCCAGAAAGTCCAATGCCAAGTGCCTGGCACTCCAGGGCACTGCACCGCCCAAGAGCAGCGCGGGAATACCAGCTCTCTGCAGGGTTGCTGGTGCAAGGGGAGAGAGCATGGAAAACCGGCCTACTTTTAAGGACCTCAAATGGAGAGTGACACACTTCCCATCTGTTCACAGGCATTAACCAGAACCAGGCACATGGTCCCAACCTAACCACGGCGGCTGGGACGTGTAGGAAGAGAAAGCACATGGAATGTTCGAGAGCACTACCATGTCATATTGCTGGACAAACATAATCCGTTCAAGTAAATAGTTGAGTCATAATTAATATATCCATAGTTGGAATGCCAGGAGACCCGGAACAATTCTGCTTTAGGAATCCAAGTCTCTTACTCATTTGTGACAATCCTTTTTTCATCTGAAAATTGTATGGACTTGATAAACTCTCGTGGGATATTATAGTGTCCCAAGCCTTCGGCTGCTGCATTCCTAAGTGATGATTTATATAATTAACCATAAGGGGGAGGAAGGAAGGCATGAAATCTTCAAAATCTTTCT